GAGACAGACAAGTAAATGATAATACAAGGGATATGTGATGAGCCCACGTTCTAGAAAGCTGTGGGATGCAGACGAGGGGCACCTGGACTGGAGACAGGGGAGGCAGGTGGGCTTAAGGGTGCTGTTCCTGAGACAGATTAAGGCTGATGAATGAGGGCACGATGGTTATTAGGTACCCACTTGACTGGGCCATCAGATACCAGATGACCGGTTAAACGTCACTCACTGTGGGGGTCTCTGAGGGTGTTTCTGGTTGAGATTGTCATTCAAGTCGGTGGATTGAACAGAGCAAACTGCTTCTGACCCCACAATGTGGGTGGGCATCATCCAATCTGTTGAGGGCCTGATTAGAACAAAAGAGCCGAGGAAGGGTAAATTCGCTCTCTATTGGCTGGGACATGGGTCTTCTCCCAAACTTGGATCGGGATTGAAAGCATTAACTCTCCTGATCCTCAGACCTTCAGACTCTACAACTGGTGAAACTACACCACCAGCTCTCCTGGGTCTCTTGCTGGCAGAGGCTGGGACTTCCTAGCCCCCCAAAATCATGTGAGCCAATTCCTCACAATAAATCTCTCTATGTATCTATATATCCTATTGGTTCTGTTTCTCTGGAGAACACATATGGGCTTGACTCATAATAGGAACCAGTTCTGTATGGCTGAACATGAAGGCCAGGAAAGAGAGAGAAGTGGTCAGGCCGAGGAGTGAGGAGTGAGGAGTCAGGGCATGAAGAGAAAAGAAGGCCATGCTAAGGAGCCTGGCTTCTATCTTACAAGATTTTGAAGGTGGGTGACATGACCGGACGTGTGGTCTACAAAGACACTCTGGCAGCCGGGTGGAGGCTGCCTTGGGAAGCATGGTGGGAGGATACTATAGCGGAAGTTGATGTGCCCTGGACAGTGGCAGCAGAAATGGCCAGAAGTGACTATCAAGCAGCATTAAGCAGCAAAATTTGGGTGTAAAAGAGTCGCCAGAGATGACTTTGTACACTTCGAGCTAGGACGGTGGGGTGCTAGTAACAGTAATCATTAATCAAATTTTTATAATAGTATGGCTTAAGTGATGAAGATGATTTTGGTGAGATTTACAAGGCCCTCATCCTCAGGTACCTTTTGAATAATATAACTTAAATTATACTCATAATTGGAGAAGTATCTTATAAGCTTCAAATTATTTGGAAATTGGCCCGATGACATCACTAATCCTGCTTAAAAAACTGATGGCTTTCTACTGTCCATGTGGGACAAAGTACAATTCCAGTGGGTCCTGCTTGCCAGTCTCCTTCAGAACAGGAGTCCAACCTCAGAGCCTATGGCCTACATCCCAGCCCCCTCCCGGGCACATGGAATGGCCTGCTGTTCCTCAAATAGAACATGCACTGTTCTCTCTGGCTGGAAGCCTCATCTCCCTTGATGGGGGGGTTAAGCTCATAACTCATTTTTTAAGACCCAGGTCAAATGTCATCTCCTCATAGAACCCTTCCCCAGGGCCCCCAGGCAGATTCCATGCTCCTTTTCTCAGAGTCCTTATATTGTGAACCCCCTACACCACAGTTCTCATCACATACTATAATCCATTTCCTGAACTTATCCATGAGCTTCATGAGAATGAAGACTCCAACTCGTTTTTCCTATTCCCAGGGCTACTGAACTAGAGGCGTGGGGATCTGGTGGAGCTGAAGAGACTGACTGCGAGCTCATTCCAGGCAGGTCGGACTGTTCAGTGACAAGTCTGGGAGACATTCTGAGGAGGGAGCTGTGGAGTTGTGCTGGACAGTCTCTCCTTCACAAGCTAAGGGTCTCATTCTGTGTTCGAAATTACCTCAGCAAAATGATAAATCACCTCACGGCAAAGATCTTTCGGTTGCCCTTGGCATCAAAACCATAAATGTTAAGTCTGTGAAGACCAAGCAAAGCTCTACTGGTTTTCCAGAAGCTTTACATACCAATAAGTGACACAGTAGCTTAAGGACAAAGTCTCCTCTGTTGCAAAATTTTCTTGACATGGTATTATGCAGACTGATAAAACACACATCAACTCACTTATGGGTGATACCCTCAGGCATGGCTTCCTAGCTCCCAACAATCTGCCCTTCTCTGGGAAACACACCCACTATTACAGGACAGGGTCAGGCCAGTACAGAGGTGTGAAAAGCAGACATGAACTTGAGCAGTCCTTAAATGCAGAATGGCTGGCAAATGAGGGGACAAGCCACTGCGGAGGTGTCACCAGTGACAGCCACCCAGACAGGTGGTGCGCTGCTGAAGGCCCCAGGGCTGGCCCAGCTCCCCCGCTCCCAAGTCTCCACCGTGCCACTGATTCTATGACATGCCTTTCAGCAGCTCTTCAAAAAACTACCCCCTTCTGCGGGCTTACACAAGCTTAAGGTAATTTCTGTCAAGAGCAATGAAAAGGACCCGAATACCCACTTTCAGCCCTTTGGCTTTTGCTCACTCAGGCCAGTTACTTCTCTCCCAGGTCTTGGCACCTGGGTCGCACCTGGACATCTCTCAACGAAAGTGCCTTTTTAAAATGACTTTCTTGCTCAACGTGACTAGTAGGCTCCTTTGGGAGGGCGAGGTCAAACACTTTAAGATTTATTTGGGGGGGGCGGTGGGTGAGGAGGGGCAGAGGGAGAGGAAGAGAGAGAATCCCAAGCAGACACCCTGCCGAATGTGGAGCTCGACACAAGGCTTGATCCCACGACTCTGAGATTATGACCGGAGCCCAAACCAAGAGTCAGACGCTCAACTGACTGAGCCACCCAGGCGCCCCAGGTTAAACACTTCAATGTCTTGTCCACACGCCTCATTTTGGCACCCTTCCCAAATAATTTATGGTTCAGTGAAGGACACAGACAATCCACCCAGAAAAGAGAATGTCTGACAAGATAGTGACAGTTTTGGGTCCTTACTAGTGTTATGGAGGAAGCCTGCTTTAAAGCACTGTTGTAGGATTTGTATCTTAAGAAATGCCAAAGAACCTGGATTGCTCGATAAAATGCTATCTTTTTAGTCACTGTGTTAATTACATGGTCACTGTGCTTGGAGCCTCACTCTTGAATCTATCAGCATAGCATAGGAGGGGCAGAATCCATTTTTAATATTCTTGCCTGACAGTCTTTATAAATAACTGAATCTCTTATCTAGAATGTACTATAGTGGGGGCTCTTTCTTATTCTAACGGTATAGAAGAGTCTAATTTGGGGATTCTAAATGATTATGCCTTTTTCCCCTCTATTAGCTGCCTCCAATGTACAGTCAGAAATAGAATCAGAAGTGAAAATTAGCTTAGCAGGGTCTAGAGGACCTGAAGCGCAATATACATCTTTCCTATTACCATTTTCATGACAAGGAACTGAGTCAGAACAGTTAGAAATGTCTAGAATTTTGCAAACATGGACAACAAAAGCCAAACAAGAGGGACATGGAATTTATTGCTTAGGTTACTATTGGGAAATAATGCTGGCCTTAATTCAAAGCTACTGTCACTACAGTTACACCAAATTACTATTATTACCCTAGTGTTATGAGTTTACTATTTCTCTGTGATAAAGCTGAAAGATCACAGGAGGGATCAGTCAGAGATGGTGGCTTGAGGGCTGGAGTCCACTCAGCTGTGGAACCCTAGGGAAGTCACATCCTTGTCTGTAGCAAAGGGGGAACCATCTGTCTCCAAGGAAATGGAGGGGGAAGCAACTGTAAGCAGCGTTAGGATCTGCTCTGACTCTGTAAGAAAGAAACAAAAAGTGCTAGAATTTCACGATTATTAACCTTAGGAGAAACTTATTCGACAGTTCTGTAGCAAAACCCTGAGTTGGAGAAGAAAAGGATGGATAAAGATTGATGAAGGGAGGAGAGAGAGAGAGGGAGAAAAGGGCTTTTCACCAGACTGTGGAGGGGAGGGCTAGTGAGGAAGACCGTCAGGCTGGGGGGGGAGGGTGTTCTCTGGGACCTTCCAGACTATGCCTACATGTCACATGGGTCTGGACTGAGGCCTGAGGACAAGTACACAGCACTCCCTTAAATATTTGGTCTAGTCCAAGTGGCTTACAACGGAGCTGCATCATGTGTGTGTTTATCATACGTTCAACTATAGCAGGTGGCAAAAAAAAAAGATAAAAAAGCATTAACCGTCTTATTGTGTGGGCAGTTCTGACTGCATTCCACTGAATGTGTGAGTGAATGTGAGGGGCAAGACAGGTGGTCTTGGGGTCTATGTGCCCCTCAGAGTGGGAACGTCTCTCTAGGCCAAGAGTGGTTTTAGTGTTTAGAAATCAGAAGGCATGTACAGCCAGTCACTACGTGAAAAGCAGCCATACTGTCTGGTGCTCAGCTGCAGAAACTGAGAGCCTTTCTAATCTGGAAGACAAGCTGGCTGGGCTAGACACCTCAAGACATACAGCTTCCACCGTGGTGTGTTTCTAGGGGGCTTACCAGTGCGTCTGATCGCACAGATCCTCTGTGACCTTCTGAACGAACTCCTTCTCAAGCAGATGTTGTGAGCTTCCTTGCCTCCTGACTTATGCTCGTACCACTTCCAACATGATGCCCTTTCCTCTCCTCTCCACCTACCCTAAACTCTAAGCAACCTTTCCCCTCGCACTCCCAAATCTTCTAGCTTCCAAAGACCTCCTCCAAAGGAACATCTTGCTCTGGGCTGACGCATCCCTTTGGTGACCTGTCACTACCATTTTGTAATGAATCTTAACAATATTTAAATCCTGTGAAACATGTGGTTAACTTTACCCAACGCAATTATCTTCAATCTGTCATCAGGTATGCTCCCTGAGAGCAGCAATCTCATGGCACCCAGCATAGTGAGTGCTAAATATATTTGTTAGCACAGGCCAGCAGTTGAGAGCACAGGCTCTAGGTTAGAACCCTGGCCCTGCTCCCTCCTGGCCTCGGGCAGGTCATCATGATCAAAGGAAGAGAACATAAAAACCCAACTTGTTTCACGTGTGACCACTCAGGCAGTTTCAAACGTGAACTTACAAATGCTGATGGCAGGAAAAGGACCCCAAGCTCATAGGAACGGATCATCAGCTGGGTGCCGTTCTTCTCCAACGCTCCCCATGCGGCCTTGGACAGATTTGCGCTGCAGGGACAAGGACACAGAGAGGGCAGACTCAGTGAGGCATTTCAGCTCAGGTCAAACTTTCACAGCTGCAAGAGCATCGGTCAAAACCACAGATAGCTGCAATCACATTCATTCAGTTTTTGGCAGAGTTGTGCATTTTTTAGAAACGGAATACTAAATCCTGCTGTGCTATAATCCCCGGGATTTATCTAATTATTAATTTGGGGCAGCTTCACCCTTACCTGCATTTTCCCCGAGGACAGCTATTAAAATAATTATGCTTTTTAGATTTTTTTTTTTCTGTCTAAAGTCCTTTCTTTCCATGACTCAGGTGTAGCCTGGAGGTCTGATTTTGTTATACGCCAAAGTAGCATTTAAGAAAAAACTATGTTAATATGATCTTAGGTAGTATCTTAAGCTTCACATTCTTCTACCTTTGGTTTTGGGCCAGGAAGAGCTAAATTCTTTCAATCAAAGGAAAACAGAGGAGGGCAGTAGACTGGCATCTGTATCCAGAAAGAAACGGTGTGTTCAGAACCCTGTTTTACATGGGCAGAGTCATGGGTATGCCTAAAAATCACAGGGTGCAGAAGGAAGGAGCCCTGGACCTGACCGAATGGGAGGGACCCAGATGCTATCGGGACCCCTATGTGATCTGGACAGGAAACAGACCTAAGCTCTGAGGCATCACCTCTAGAAACATGCTCTCCTGCATCAAACCAGGCCGAGAACCCTCACCCACCAGTTAATTAACATAAACCCACCATAATGGTTTTTTCCCAATGAGGCTCACCCAAATTGCCTATTTTCAGAATAGGGAATATTCTTAGCTATTCAGACCCTTACAGCCCAACTTCAAGGACAATGGAATTATTTCAAAATTCGTTCACTGGGGCATCAAATATTCTTCTGAAGAAAGTGCTGACCTGGCGTTACAGGAATCACAGAATCAAAGTGAGTGGTAACCAAGAAAGGTGAAAAGCATGATCTCTGTTCAGGGTCCTATGAGAACAGACAAGTACTATGGAAATCAGAGCTTAAAAAGTGCTAAAAACAATTAAGCTACTTAAAGCATACAGACACACTTGCCTGTCTTCTCTAATGGACCATACTGAGAACAACAAACTCTACTTTCTTGCTCAAGGGACACAATCATGAACACCGCTATCTGTGATGGATCACAAAGATGGAAAATGCAGGGGAAGTGGGGAAGTTCACAATAAAGTGGTACTATGACTATAGGAAAACTGTTTTCTTTAGAAGTCCAAGACGCCGTCCCTCACTCAAATGGACAGACCATCTAAGCAAAAGATCAACAAGGAAATAAAGACTTTAAATGACACACTGGAGCAAATGGACTTCACAGACATATTCAGAACATTCCATCCCAAAGCAATGGAATACACATTTCTATCTAGTGCACATGGAGCATTCTCCAGAATAGATCACATCCTGTCACAAATCAGGTCTCAACCGGTATCAAAAGACTGGGGTCATTCCCTGCATATATTCAGACCACAATGCTTTGAAACTAGAACTCAATCACAAGAGGAAAGTCAGAAAGAACTCAAAAACATGGAGGCTAAAGAGCATCCTACTAAACAATGAATGGGTCAACCAGGAAATTCAAGAAGAATTAAAAAAATTCATGGAAACAAATGGAAAATGAAAACACAACTGTTCAAAATCTTTGGGATGCAGCAAAGGCAGTCCTGAGAGGAAAGTATATAG